ACTCTTGGTGGTCGGGTCAGCAACATCTGAGGAACCTTTTTCCTGTGCCTTCTTGTCCTTTTGCTCCTGCTTCTTGTCAGCCTTTGCAGCCTCTGCCTTCTTCGTGTCAGAGTCCATATCGGTCTGCTGATCCTTCTTGGACTTGGAACCCTGAGCCTTTGTTGCGGCCTCAATCCTTTGCTTCTCAGCCTCTTCCTTCGCCCTCTGACGACTTTCCTTCTTCTCTTCAGCTTTCTTTTGCAGGGTATGAGAAAGCCTGCGCAAGTCTTCCAAATCTTGGGCTTGCTTTGCCTTTTTCTTCTTTTGTTGTTCCTGCAAGATTTCCTTCTCAGACATAGGTGTGGCCTTTTGCTTGCGTAACTTTTCTGGATCCTCCACCTGGTCAGAATATGCCAGAACATGCCCCAAGCATGGTTGATCGAAACTACTTTGCAAAACAGAATGCACATAATAGGCAGACCTTCTTCTCAGTCTTGTCGGCGGCCATGGCAAAAATACCCCTCCGGCTCCGGATTTGGAGAAAATTTGACCACACAGATTTCTGAAAAAAAGTAAGTTTTAGCAATTCGGAAGACACGATTTGACACGTTTTGACACGTTCTAGAGCAGTTCGGAACATCATCTAACAGGCTACAATTGGTAACCTGTTAGGTTTAACAGTCTGCACTTGGCCACCTGTTAGACATTTCCAAAACGATGCCAGTGACACGCAATGACACGCAATGACACGTTGGGTTTGTGTGATGTCCAGAGCCTTCACCACGGCAGGCCAAAAAGTGTCGGAATTCCAATTTCCGCTCGGGAGCCTAACTTTGCTTTGCGCATGGGTTCTGGAATCTCAGCTCGGAAATCTTTTGTACTCCCCACCAAAGATCTCGGTTCCAAATTAGTGAGCGGTTCACTCAATTGAATTTATTGCACCAAATCTGTACTGCTGCGAGCTGGTGCATCTTTCGATTGTTCCAGCCTTTTCATGGCCAGGACTGACAAATAATCGCAGTTGCAGTCCTTCGAAATCCAAGATAAAGTTTTTTGCTCATTCCTGGGTTCGAACGGCTGGACCAGATATTAAGTGTGTCTTTTTGTTGCATACAGTTTGAACATCTTGGACAAGATACGGGGTCAACCACTCCGAAAGGCATAGTGACCAACATGACAAACACAGGTAATCGCAACCAAGGATTTCCAAATCTTCTTGTTGACGTGCACGTTTGGAGGTAGCCCGGGCCGAGGTCGCCATTGGAAGCACTAACAGAAAGGATGGTTTGAGCAGCAGCTATAGCTATATATAGCCAACCTTAAGATGTTCAAAGTGTCCCAAACAAACATAGAATCACATTTCAAATTCAACCACATTTTTTCACACGGTCATCGAGTGAAAACAGGCATCCTACAGGTGAACCACCCATGCAGACAATTGGAATCAACATCCACTTTGTTGTTTGTGCAGGTTTGTAGGGAGGCTTTCGAATTACAGGTTTGGGTGGTGCACCTATGGCAGTCCCTTGTGGCCTGGCCGTGCGATGCCCCCATGAAGGGCCCCCCATGTGTCATTTGTGGCGCATATCAAACATACCATTACAATCATACACTATTTGTTTGATGTTTCGATTAACAGTTCACCCATGATTGAAGAATGAAAGACATGTTGTAGTCCAACCCACTAGTGGATATTGTATGCCTGGCGCCACCAGGCCAATTTCCGGCCCTTGATCAAGTCATGTAGGCTGCCCAAGTGGTCCTGGCCCGTATACGATGTCAAGTCAACGAAGTCATCTTCAGGAACATCTCCACGTTCTGGCACCAGTGCTGCCACGGCCATCCCAAATGGCCGGGGATATTCAGCCGATTGGGCGAGGGCACTCCGCTTCCCAGCCTGAGTCAAACAAGTAAGAAACAATAATTTCACCAAGTGCTCCAAATCAACTTCACATGATACTAATTCTTTGCACAGATAGTCAGACCAGATGCCACTCTCAACTTGCCATTCTTATCAACGGACTTTCTCACCAATGACTTGTCTTCCAAAGTCCTCTTTCACAAGATTCAAGGCAATACAAAAAAGAACACGTGAAGCACAAAAGATAGCTCCATCTGTCCTTTGCAAGGCCAGACGCAATTGTTTCACATCCAAGGCTCGGCGAAGGTGATGTGCTGCGGGCAGGGTGGTCCAGATCCTCAAGGTTTTAGAAAGCAAACTATTAATTTACAGCCAACCCAATCATGATCCAAGGGAATCCAAGGCACACTGTGTATTTAAGTGTGGCCGCTCCATACGATCCCATCGGAAAGCAGACCCTCCTCAATCCAAGATCACGTTTCATTATGTTTTTTACTGTGGAAGTTGAAATCAATGTGCAATTCCACAGTCAATCACCTTCAACAAGTTATGTGCAAGAACCCTGTCCGTGCATTTGCCCAACGCAGAAATCTTGCCATCGGGGGCCAGATGAAGAGCACCTGAACAATCTATCGGTCAAACCCACTGGATAATTCAGGTAAACCCTGTACCGATCAAACATGTGAGCATTCCACGGAGCTCATGGGTTGTTCAACTGCCCAGTATATTCCACGTTGATGCGCATAATATAACCTGAGGCAAACACCATGTTGTGTTTTCTAATATTGCTAGCATCAGTGTTATGCCCAAGTTACAGGTACAATAGCCGCATGCAAAGGATGTTCGCAAGGACAACCTTCTTGGAGTCCCCTCCCTCCGGATTCCACCAGTTGCGTTTGGTCGTCCCTTGGGACCTCAGAACCCGAATCAAACAAGAGCTTCCATCTCTCACAAAAGACCATTGTCAGTGTTTTCAAAACGTTCAAAGACTCTTGTTGGCCACCAGCCAGGGCACAAAAACACCCAAGTCGCACAAGGGGGTCCAGCAAATAGCAATCCTTTTTGGCGCATGTTTCGTACCTGACAGATGCTTAAGCTTAAAGAAGTCCAGGGAAGGAGAATACCAAGTGTACTTAGCACAGCCTTTTACATGTTCCAGGAGCACTGCACAAAGCATCGTGACAAAGCCGACTGTGCGCAAGAGATTATGGTTCGCAGAATAACGGACCTTGATTTCACAGTTGTTAGGATACATGTTCAACCCCCAACTTGACAGTTGTTTGGATATATTTCCAAAGCTCCATGATTGCTAACAAGCCACATCAAATGATTTGGTAGCCATGCCACAATCCCGAAGAGCCCGAGAAAGCTCTCCTTTTCCGGCACATATTTCCACCTCAGCCAGTCCAGTTTGTTCCTATTTCCTACAATGGCAGGAAGAACGTTATATATACTCAGACTCAAGAGACATGTGTACTTCCCACAGAACTTGTGGTTATACAGGCTAGGGCACCGCATCAAGGGCTTGATCCGGAGACGGGCGAGGGATTTGCGAGATGTACAAAAGTACAAGTAGCAGCTGTTTCGGATCCATATCCCTAAAGTCTGCACAGTGTGAGCTACCGCAGCTACCTACGACCACCGGCTGCGAGCCAGAGGACCTCCGAAAC